AGAAGCCCACAGCCTCCTAGGGTTCCAAACCTGGCCGGGAACACGCCTGGCTCAAATTCTGCTAGGGGTGTTGGAGGGAGGAATGCCGATGATAAAACTCTTGACACAGGCCGTACTGTCCTGGTGGGCCCCAAGCTCGACTTGCAGGAAAGAGGAGCACCCATATCTGATGATGACTACAAAGATTTGGTCGAAAAGATGAATGAGGGGTGTGCCAAGGATGAACCTATCAGAATGGTGGGGATATCACGCACCAAGATGGGATGTGCATGCAGACTACCTACTGCACAGGAGGCTGTGAAGCTCAAGGCCGTTGCCCAAGAGAGTGGCCTTTTCTGTAAGGAGGCGAAAAGATTAAACCCTAAGATCTCTCTATTGCTGCCCAGAGGCCGCATTGATAGATCAGGAGTAGAGGATTTACATAGGGAAATCGTTGAATTCAACAGAGATATCTTGGGGCCTAATATTGGAAACATCAAGATTAGACGGGTTATGGGTTCACGGGTGATATTGGAGATGCCCACTGATGTATACGTCCTCTATCGCAACTCTGGGAGTCGCATCTTTTGCAAGGGAGGGTCTATGGGAGGTAGAGACTATATTTATGTTAGGCAGGGCTACAACTGCGGCAGCGTACATAACACTGCCGCACCCTACTGCGACCCTGGCAAGATCCAGTGTACAAGATGTGGGGGAACGGATCACTCCTTGCAAGACTGAATGAACAGAATGGCGGAGCCAGAAGGCTTCACTTGCCTCATTTGCCAGACCAAAGGGCATAGCTGTCTAAGACTTAGACTCTAAGTGCTGAGTGCCCTGCTTTGAGAAGGAGGATTGAAGCTAGGAAGCGTATGACGGATAGAGGAGGGCTGGGTCTACAGCGTTATCAATAGCGCCCAGGGCCCAGGGTTGTGTACTATTATGTAACCATTTGAGTGTAGGACAAATAAATCTAGGTAGATCTAGAATAGCATTAGATGAAATTTTTATTAGTCTATCGCGAGAGAATGTTATCTTCCACTGCATCTTGCTACAAGAACCCCCCAGAGGAGTTCCCGAGTTTTTCCTCAATTATAGGATTGTATGCAATAAGGAGAATGGTCTAGAACCAAGAGCCGCTATCATGATTAGGCTGGGTACCCCTTTTCGCATGATAAAGAATGTGCGTGACGCGGTGGTAGTCAGTATCAATGAGAGTGCCACTTTGGCCTCGGTGTACCTTCACCCGATAGGGGATGTGGCGGCAGACTGTAACCTGATCCCCACAGTGGGGAAGACGGTTACCGGTTGTGACTGTAACTCGCACTCACTGTTATGGGGACAGCTAGGGCACAGAAGAGCTGTTCAGCGGGGTAGAATCCTAGAAGACTACCTCGTCACGAACTGTATGGAAATACACAATGTGGAAGGAGTGACAACCTTTGAATCACATTCTGGGTTATCCTCAAGCACAATTGATATTACTGTATCAACGGATGACCTCGATGGAGAAGTGAGAGGATGGGGCATAGATGAGCGTGTGACTACGATATCGGATCACAAATTCATCTCATTCACCATCAATCATGACTCACTTAATAGCACAAATCGGGTATCCAGGAGGAATGTACGTAAGACAAATCACGAGGAGTTGGAGGCGAGGCTATGTAGTGAATTCCAAGGGTGGGATGAAGAGAGAATATGCTGCATACCCATACTAGAGAAGGTGACCAGAAGATTGATCGACACAATACGAGAGGTCGTTATAGAGACTACGCCAATCAAAAAAGTGCCATATGGCGGAAGACTGTGGAGGAATACCAGGCTGGAGGGGATGAAGGATGAACTCGGCTCCAGGAGGAGGCAGCTGAGGAAAGGACTGTGTAGTGTGGAAGACGTTAAAAACCGCTACTACCACGAGGTAAGGAAAGCTAAACTAGAGAAGTTCACGAGCTACTTGGACAGTCTCGGAGGCAATAGCAAGGAATTATTCAAACTCGTCAAGGGGAGAAGAAATGGAACTAACCCCTCAGATGTTGCTTCCATTGAGGAATTGGGAGATCACTTCTTTGCAGGGTTGTCGGAAGTGGAAATTTCGGAAATTTCCGCTTGCGGAAATTCGAACAAATTCTACATTGTACAGGTGAGAGACGGAGGGAGCCATGACTCATGCTAGGGGATGGAGGGGCAGGAGGAGGCAAGCTTAAGGAAGCTGATAAGGCTGATGGAGGGATTCAGCGTTAAGGATGTGGACGATTTCATGAATACCTTCGATGACTACAAGGCGCCAGGCCCGGATTAGAGAGTGAACGTGCACCTGAAAACCGCATTGAGTGCGGGTGCAAATAGGTGGATCCATGAGATTGTGGAAGCTTGCATACGACTGTCTCACTTCCCTACGACCCTTAAAGGATCGAAAACTGTTTTGATAAGCAAACTTGGTCGGGTGGGACTGAGATCCTTTCGCCCATAATGCTATCATCGGCGGTATCCAAACTGGTGGAAAAGTGCTTGGCACATGTCTTCCTGGAAGTTCCAGGCTGGAACCCTTTCCACATAGGGGAATGACTTATCAGCACGCCTATATTGTCGGCAAGAGTCCCTCGACGGCGCTGCCTGATGTCATCAGCGTCTACAACTCTAGAAGGGCCAGAAAGCCCTACCGAGTGATGGCCACTTTAGACGTTAAGGGCGCTTTTGACAACTGCAATTGGAGTCTGACAATGTCCGAAGTTAGAAAGTGTATGCCAGAGCCGTTGGTCGAATTATTGACAAGCTACTTACAAGGGAGAGTAGCTAACCTATGTGTGGACGGAAGGACAATCAGGAGGAAACTGATCCACGGCTTCCAACAAGGATCTGCGCTGGGACCTAGACTTTGGAACTTGAGCTGTTCGTCGATCATAGAAGAGATCAACCAGACACTACCGGCAGGCTGTCGCTGTGCGGCCTCCGCAGATGACATAATTCTCATTATAACAGCAGCATCGGAGAGGGTACTCCTGGCCTTCCTGAAGGGGGCAATCAACCGTATCAAGGAATGGGCAGGACATAACAACATGGTGATAGAAGAGGAGAAGATAAATATCCTGGCTGATGGGTCATCCTTCTCAAGGAACGTAAAGGAGGAATTGAGACAACTAGGAAGGGTGGCGAGTGGCGTTAAGATACTGGGCATTCAACTTGAATGATTCAAGTAGGAGAGCCGTAGGAGAAGACCGGCTATTGGCAGACACCACAGTAATATCACAACCTAGCCTCCATGGCAAGGATTATATACGGGTGTATTAGATGAACTCCGAATAGGCTGATGGGCAATGTTCTACGTTATGACTTGAAGTGGCTGGTTGCCTCTCACGTTGAAGGTATAGTAGATGAAGTGATTCAGAGTGTTTACGACGAGCTCGATTTGGCTCTAGATGCCACTAAAGGGAGATGCTTGACTAACCTAGGAGATGCACCCAAAGAGTGGAGACATATCAATATCCTTGGTTATCCTTCAGAGTACTGCTTAATGTACTGGAGAATGAATAATATGTTATGAGGCCCAACAACGGGTCCGACATAGTGTGACGAGGAAGACGGCACTCCGATTGATTGTGCCCTTAGATGTCCCAAGAACACTTGGCCATCATGGATTAATCCACAAGGCATCCTTGGTCAATTCAGTGTTTTTATTTACAATTTCTACTCACTTACTTATGCCTACACAACCTGCTGCAGTAATTAGTCAAATTCTATGAACAATTGTACTGGAGT